TTCTTAAGAATAGCATGGAGGAGGGGAGGAAGAGGAAGGGAGGGTTTTTACAGGAAAGAGAGAACTGGTGTTATAGTATGTTCCTTTAAATGTTGAGAGTCAATAGCGTTGGAGCGTGCTTTAGTTAGCATGAATATAGATGAGAAAATGTTATTTTGAAATCAAGAAACAACTCTATCAGATTTATGGTTTTCCATATACATATACATATATATATATATATATATTGAACTATTTCATCTCATTTTCCTTTAATCTGAAATCATTTAACACATCACTTTAATTTCTCACATGTGAACTTATATTCTAACATTAAATAGATAAGACATAAATAAAAGTAAGGGTAATCATTTTAAAACTAAATAAAATTATGTTTTTTAAGGATAACCAATTGATTGAGAACTTAAGCATCTATATTGTACGTTTCAAGTTAAAATATTTGAGATAGATGGGGAGGGGTTGGGAAGGGGAAGCCCATCCCTAGTTATGTATAGTTTATTATCTTAAGTACCAAAAAAACTTACAAATAAAATTGTATATATCATAATGCTATTTTCATTTATTACTTAAAATCTAAATAATACATTACATATTTAATTCCTTGACCTAAGAAAAAGATTCATTCAACAATGCTGAAGACATACGAAAGCTATAGCAGCGACTCTACAAGCTAAAGCAACAAGATACGTAACCAAACTCCGTTCGCAGGCAGACTCCATAAAACTTTATGTGACTTTTGCTTTGTTCTTCCAAATATTGCTGGCATTTGGAAAGATAATTCACAAGAACAACTACATCTTGGTGCGCCTTATGCAATTCAGGAGAAGAACTTGTAGCTTTTAGCTGATATGATGATCGACCTTAATGCACCAATGGGAGCCAGAATCACCAACAGAACACCAAGAACGATGCATGTCTGAAATGGATCAACATGGAAAGAAATGAGACTGAGAAATAGTGTCGAATGAATTCAATAGGTTTTAAAGAAAAGGAACGCAATGCTATACCCAGTTGATTATCCAAGATAAGCTGTATCTTTTGGGTTTGTAGATGGCAAGCCACATGATGCAGGGGAGCTGCAAAAGGGAGATTATGTTGTTACATGTTAGGAGTCCAGTAACATTGGTAGAAATCAGAAAATCACCGTTTTGAGTTGAGTTCTTAAGGCTTACAAAGTATGTTGTTGGGGCAAAGGCAAATCCTCCAAAGAAGCCAAGCAGACCTCCAAAGAATGGGATGCATATACCAACAATCATTGTAAATGCTGCATCGGAGGAGGATTTTGTTTAATCATGAAAATGAACTATTCTGTTCTCATTAACAATTCATCCAAGGAAAAAGTACTTACCAACATATAGAGTGCGGCTAATCAAGCGAAGCCTGAAGCAAGGTGTGAAATTCAGTCTCTTTACCAGCACACTCTCTATCATGTCAAAAACTGGCATAGCATAAATCTGTAAATCTCCCAGTTTAAAGAGAGTTTTGGTCACACAGATAGCTATATATTTAGCAGAGAAAAGGGATCAAAAGCCGTTCCTATTAGAATCATTGAATTTCACCTGATAGCTTCCAATGACATGGACAACAACAAACATGTTAGCTGTTGCGATGAGCCAAGCGGGTTTCTCCAATGTGATGAGGATGTTGTCATCCACAGAGTTTCCGAAAAACCAATATCCAATCAGAGCAACAGGGAAATAGCATAATGCAACCACAATATATGCAACGATAACACCTTTCCACATGGGTATCTTGGAAGGTTTCTCAGGAGTTGAGGGAATTGTTGCCTGGATCTCCAGAACCACATTGTGCCCAGCATAAGCAAAGGCTACATCACCCAATGCACTAAGGAAATTGAAGACAGCTCCAGATCTTGTGGAAGCACTGTATGAATAGTCCACATCTGGTTGCACCCCTTTAGCAACAGAAGCTGTCCATGCAATGGTAGAGTAACTGCCAATTGAAGATGTGACAATTTTTTTTATTACCAGTCAAAAGATGCAGAATTCAATGGAATGTGAGACCAATTCAACCATTTTTTGTACCTCAAGGACATGACTGCAGCTGCGAGAGAGACAATGGTTATGGAATTGAAGTTGGGGAGATGGGAGAGGAAAAAGTGGACAGAAGCAAAGATCACAATGAAGTATGAGAGTCTGATGTCTTTGCAGTTAGGACAAACTGTGTCATGAAACTTCTTCAATGATTTCCCTCCCGTGACCATGTAGACAATATCAACGCCAACTTCCACAACCAGCTGCTGGGGCACCACGATCCACAGGCCGAGCTTTTCACCGAAGGCATACTGCCCTAGCTCATGGTACCTATCAAACCGCCTCCCGGGCACCATCTCATGCATTTCCACCATTTGCCATAAAGTGTACAAGGTGATGATCCATGACAAAATCAGTATAACCACTCCAGGACCCCTGAATTTTATCCCATTAATGATCAAATTCAAGAATCAAAACCCAGAAACAGATATCAAAAACATTGTTGGGGAAAATAAACAAACAGATGACATACCATCCCATATGAGCCATGGCATAAGGAAGACTGAGCACCCCAGCTCCCACCATGGCTGTGACATTGTGGAAAGCAGAGTACCACCATTTCGCATTCCGGGAAGACGTGATAGGAAGCCATTCGTCGATTTTCTTCTGTTTGGCCGCAGCCACCTCGTCCTGAGGCTGAATTTCATGATCGAATTTCATCTTTTCTCCTCCAGAAACTCAGACAACCCAAAAGGTCTGAACTTTGAACCAATCTGTGAACTTATGAAGTGGGAATACAAAGAGAATCGAGGGAGCAATAAATAGAAAATAAATCTTCCTAAAGATGTAATAATGCCGCCAGTTGTTACCCTGAGCTGCCGTTTCTCCGTGTAATGAACTGTAAATTCGGCGGGAAAAGATTTCGTGGACATGGTGAGATGCTGTTAAAAAAACGTGTGATTTCCAAACTGAATTAACAAGATTTGGGATTGGGATGATTATGAATCTCAAAAAAATGGTAAATTAATTTATACATGGAAAAATTCAAGCAGGCTGAATATTCCATACAAAGAGATTTTTTTCTGTAATAAACATTTAAATAATTTAATATTAATTTTTTTTTGTTAGAATAAAAATTTTGAATTTGAATAATTTGTTATGTAAGTGAGTTAAAAGATGAGAGGTTGTGTTTTATTATATAATTGAAATAAAAACAATTATTAATTTAATTGGTATAATAAATTTGTTTTTTGAGAAGTTTGGTTTTCTGATTTTTTGTTTTTGTTGTGATTAGTAGGAAAACCAATAAACTATATTGATACCTAACAAGATAATATTCTTTAGAGAAAATAATAGATTTTGAATTTAAACTATAGTTTTACGCGTGAAGTGCATGATAATATTCTAATTATAATATTTAAAATTAAACAAATGAAACAAATTAAAAAACAAACAAACAAATTGTGTTACGAAATACAAACTAGGTGGCAATAACGGCAATGGTCATGCCATTGACCACCATGACTTTTTGTTGAGGGTATTAAAAATTGTTAAATTTTTATTTTAATTTA